CCTTAAAGTGGAGATTGATTATTGCTCTTCACCAATTACAATTACGCAAATTAGGGCAACTTTGTGGAGAATTTAAGTTATAGAGTGATAAAATTGAAATAGAGTAATAAAATTAATAAGAAATTTCATAATGAGATTTTCATTGACTTATGAAGGAGATAAGGAAGACGATGTTGATGGTCAAGAAGCTTATAGACATAACGTAAATTTGAATCACAAGGGGAATTATAGGCTTCAATTGGAAAGGTAATTGCCTTCGTTGGTGGAGTGATTTTCTCAGATTGAGGAGGGAAAATTTTGAGGGAGAGGGGAAAATGGAGTTGGCGCTTCCCTAGGTTATATTTGATGCCTTATTCGGCGGATGAGGATCACCTGTCCCAGAATGGTTTTTTCAACTTTGTCTCAGCCAATAAGAGAATGAAAATGAAAAATCACATGAATAAATATTTTTTAGTAAAAAGTGATGTAAATTTTTAAATGATGTGACACAATGTTATTAGCTGAGATAGGATTGTGAACACCATTTTGAAACACGTGATCCTATTCGGCCACAGGCAAAATTAGAATAGCAACTTTGGGCTTAACTCTAATTTAGCCCCAGTTTTAGAAATTGGCGCAATATTACTGTGCCAATATGCTGCTTTTAATACAAAATTATGGAAGTAGGATGGTCTATACAAAATTAATAACTTCTTATAGCTTAAAAGATTGTTGTAGAGTTTGTAATGATTCAGGAAATTGGATAATTGTTTGGTTTCTGCAAAAACTTGGGAGCATCTAGTGTACTTTGGGCAGAACATTGGGGTTGTATTTACTTAATGCTAACTCTAGGGTGGAGTAAAGGTTTGAAGAATATAACTTTTTAAATTGATTCGCGGTGATCAATTTAATTTCAAATGGTTCTGATCAGTTCCATCCTTATGCACTTTTGGTCAAGCTATCAGAAGTTGGTTGTATCAACGGTTTTAAATAAGTCTTGTTAAAAGTCAGAAAACCGTACCCTAAACAAAAGGCAACGCCTCATACTACCACAGTTAAAAAATCGTTACCTTTGACAAAGACAACAGTTTTTTGATTTTTAGCCACGGTTTTCAGCCGTTGTCATAGATCAAAAATGTTGTAGTTGGAAAAGAATTGAACAATTCGATATAATCACATTCACACGTAAGCGAACCAAATTGTGGATTTCATGGCTAATATATCTCATAATCATCTCATACAAATTCCTCCACCTAGATATAGGGATTTACTTTTATTTGATTTAATTGAAACGTATTTATCTAGATTTGTTTTAGTTTAGTTGTTTTGGGGTTTTAGCCCCTCCAAATAACCAAAAACAAATATGCTGCTTTTATGGTAGTGATCATCATTTGGATGGTTGAGCTAGGCTACTTCTCCTCCTAATAATTAAAAGACACTCAGCCTATAACTATTAGTCTTGATTTACTATCATCGGAGCAATATGAAAATTTTGTCAAAGACTATAATGAAGTAAATTAAATAAATATTCTTCATTTGTAAATAAATAAATAAATACTCAAACAATCTTAAGAGTACAAATTAGTCTATGCAATTAGTGATGGTATCATTTTAATATCAGTGATGAAGTGTTAAGACCTTTCTTAATATGTAATCGACTCCTGGTCCAAATCTCTCACTTAAAGACCAGTTATCTCCTAATACAATGTAAAGGTTTATTGTTTATTGTTGTGACCTGAATTGTTCTTATGATTTATTTGTGGGCCTTTTTTTGCTGGTGGTTGTAGAAATGATAAGTTTGACACCCTTAATACCTAATATTACCAAATTGATATAGCTTACTGATATAGTGTATGATATACTCACCAAGAGTCCAAGCTAGTGTATGATATATATAGCTTACTGAGCTCTATCTCTAGCATGGTTCTCACAAATATGTACATTTTATTTTTAACCATGGCTTTGCAAGACCAAAGTTGCATTTCTCCCAGTTGCTTCATGTTGCAATTATCTATCATTATATAAATGTTGCAAGTAAGGGGTCATAAGGTGGTCTGGTGGTTAAGGTGGAAGACTTAAGAAATAGGGTGAAGGAGGTTGTAGGTTCGAGTCTTACCCATAGCAAATTTTCAAAAAAAATGAGTGAAAATAAGAAGAGACGAGTTTACCCATAACAAATTTTCAAAAAAAGGAGTCAATTTGGGCAATTTTACTATCTAGAAATGAGTTATCTGGTTAGCCATTTAATTGTCTCAATATTGTTTTGTGATTTTTCTTTTTTATTTCACTTCTATTGTAATTATTCCACTATAATAAAATTATTTTTGCCGATAAAAAAAATTAGATTTTGTAATATTTGATATAAGAGAAGAAAGAGAGAAAATGAATAGAAACATATATTTTCTTCTTTTACTTTTTTATTTGGTTGGATAGAAAATAAGAAGAGAGGCGATTTTATGGTTCAAATGAAAAAATATCCCAAAAAAAAAGAAAGAAAAAAAAAGAGAAGAATGTTGTTTTTTTTTTAATAAAAAATAAATGCTATAATTTTAAATTAAACATTTTATTATATATATATATATATAATTATAATCTCAATTAACATTTTTATTTATATTTTTATATTAAAAAAGACTTATTTATATTAGTAGTATTTAAAATCAAAAGTATAGGGAAAAAAATTTGATGGACATTTTTGACATTCTATGCAAAAAATTTATCATTCTCCACTTTCTCTCCAAAGTAGGAGAGAAAGATTTTATGTTGAGTTCCACACACTTTTTATTATCTCCTCTCTTTCTCTCTTCACAACTAAATAGGAGAATTTTTTTTTCTCTTCAATCTCTTTTACCCTTTTCACTCCACTCTAATTCTTCCCTATCAAAGAGAGAATAAATTAATTGAGTTGTAACTAGGTTGCCTTGGATTGGGGTATATAGGGTCTACTTAGCCACCGGATAAGTTGCCATGTACTAAACAAACACTAAAATATGCATGAAAAATCAATATCTGAAGATTGAACCAAGAGCCATGAGTCCATGTGAATAATGTAAAATCAAAAGAGCCCCTAAAACTGTGAAATCCATTTGTCTAAGTTATAATTCATCTTTAGGTATAAACACACATATATATATATATATATATAAACACACACATATATATATATACATATATATATATATATACATATACATATATATATATATATACATATATATATATACACATATATATATATACACATATATATATATATATATACACACATATATATAGCTCCACAAAGGAAATATTGGTCGAATCAAATAAGACTACTATAAATGATAAAGCTCTTTTTATAATGAGAAACTCGAACATAAAACCACCGTTAAACTAAAAGAACTCCCTCCTACATGTTTTTTTTATCAATAAAAGAAGAAGAATTTTATTAGAAGGGATAGAAGAGTACACCGATACAAAGAAGAGAAAGAAAGAATAATTAAATTACAGAATAAACTTTCTCCCTCCTACATGCTACCTCATATTTGTTAATGAAACTTAAGAATAGCCCAAAAGAGGCAAACCAAGGAGGGATTAATAAAATGCCAAAACAAGGAAATCCAGCAAAAAATGGCATAATTGGTAAAGAACAATTGCATCAACCAAGTTAGCTAGAATTTGATTCCCATTAACAATGGCATAATGGTAAAGTCCAATTGCTTGAATTATGTTACCTAGGATTTGATTCCTTTTAGAATATATTATTCATTAAATAAATTTGTAAGGACTCCACTAACTATTAATTAAGTCTTAAGAGTTATCATTATCTTGGGAGAGGGTAGCCAAATCAATGACAAAGATCATCTGTTCTACACGATGTCTCAGTTACATATCCCGGATCAATCAAAACGTTATTTATTATTATTATTTTTTAAATTATTCTTTTGCATACATAGCAACATTCTCATTGGTTTGATACAGGGAATAAGACACTGTGTGGGATAGGTGATCCGTGTCTCCAAAGCACCACCCATAACTTGTACTCATTGGGGAAAAAAGAGCAAAACCCTAGGAAAGGGGAGAAGGCACGCTCCACATTTTCAACCTTACCATTTAGGCTAAGGGTCATGGAGAAGGATGCAGGGCGTGTCAATATCCGGCCCCCACCTTTGAAAATGCTTGTAGAGGACGCAACACATTCTCCAATCCTAACTCTACCTCATTCCTCTCTCTATACTGAGTAAGTTTTCGTTTTCCAAATCTCACAGATTGTAGCTTTTATTCTGTTTCCATCTGTGGAAGTAGGACTTGGTCAGAAAGTTTTTAAGTTTTTGGTAAAATTGGTGCTTTTGATTACGATGTATAACTGTTGTGGTTATTATTACCCTCTCTTTATCTCTGTCTTTCAGTGTCTCTACCTCATTCTCTGACTGACAGATCTTAAGCACCAACCAATATCCTCCAAATTTATTACTTATAAGCACACCCTCTCTCTCCCCTAGTTGAGCACTCTCTCTATATAAACACTACTCAATGTTTTCCATTCTCAGTTCTCAACTACTTCTCTTCTACACTCCTTCATTTTATGACTTGGGAGTTTTTTGCTTGGCCTTATAGTTTTAATCTTATCTTGCCTTTTCTTTCTTAAACTTTCAAACAGTTCTTTTGTTTTCTATACATTTGCCATAGATAGTACTTTGATTCCCTTCTTTTTTGTAAAGAGACTTGTGAGTCAATAACATTACCAAGTTGGTCTTCTTTGTTTTATTTTGTTGGCCTACACATACAGTACACATGGGATTGATGAGCCTTTGAAACCTTACATTACTTTGTTCCTCTTTTTATTTGCCTCTTTTCTTTACTTTTTCTTCATTGGATTTCATTAACTTTAGATTTAGGGTTAGGGTTAGGGCTGTTTTACTCTTTTTCTTCTCCTTTTCTCTACTTCCTAGCTCCTTCGTTTCCAGATCCTTTCTTTTTCTGTTACTATATCTCTTTTCCATGATGATGGTAACAAAGATCTAAACTAAAGAAACCAGTCATTGTTTGCTGGTGGAGCATCATCAAGATTCACAAGCTTTAGAGGTGGCTTTTGTTTGTGGCGTGGTCCCTTTGTTTCCACAAACCTATTAGCCCTTCTTATGTGAGAATCTTGATGATGCTGCAGTGGCAATAAATGACTAATACTACAAGGTTCTGCTTGAGGATTGTCACTACACACAAACTCTATACCAGGTTGGAGAAAATATCAGGTATTCCCAATAATTATGGTAAATTTCTCTATAAAATAAAGAAATTTAATTATATCATCATTCAGTTATTTAGACACTTTTTAAATTATACTTTTGTTCTATTTTAATATAGTAGTACAAGGCTATGGAAATAGTTAATCAGATGCAGGTGAACCATATTTTGAGTATGAGAGAAAATGATGTCAGTCATGATGGAGAAGGGTGCTTTTGCTATCTTTAAACCTCTGATAATGCATTGCACTGTAATTGTAAATTTTTCTTGTGCTATTTTGAGGTTTAATATTGAATAATGATGGAGAAGGGTGCTTTTGCTTTTGTCATATTTCTGGCATTTTGTACTGAAAACCTTCCCCTCTTCTCAGCAGGTATGTCTGTACGGCAGTGAACCTTTGTCTACTAACATAGATCTCTGAATGCTTTTACATCATAGATATTTGGGTACTCTTTTCTTTTTATTCATTTATGGTTTATCTAAATTTTGATATTCATTTTAATTATTTTCTATAAAGCAAATGTCTCTTCTAAATTTTGAAATCAGTTTTGGGTATGGCCAGCTTTTTACTTGGCACGATCTATGTGAAATAATTGCACTTTCCATCTGTTTGGGAATTTTGTGAACTGAAAAGGTTGTTTAGTTTCTCTTCTTCTCAGTTTATATGAAACTATCTTTTAACTAGATGGTGCTGCCTTGGTTTCTTTTCAGTACTATGTGCATATATCAGCTTGAACTATTTCTTTCTTTCATTATAGAATAGATCGCATGTGAATATATGTTTCTCAAACATTTATATGATTTGGCAACTTGACTTCTATGGTTTGGCCATTGTATGGTATTATTTTATGGTAATGTTTTATATCAAATTAAATCTTTCTATGTGTGATTGATACTACACATAGCAGATTCTAAACCCGTATAAAAGGTAAAAGTTTTATTGAATCTCTATGATATGAATGAACGACGTCAATGTTTCATATCATACATTATTGGTTGCTGCTTTAAAGGATCTATTCTTCCTTTGTAAGTTATGTTAGATTAGTAATGTTTTGCTTTGACAATATTAGCTTCAATTCATGATTTGAAAAATGTAAATACTTAATTTCTAATTAATTTGGTTGGATAGTAATACACTATTATAATCAATTCCTCTTTCAGGAGCTCTACTGATTTTGTCCATTATTGCTTACAGTATTTCTTGCACTCCCTTAATAATAATACTGATAGAATAAAAATTTCTAATTATTTTATCTTGCAGTGTGGATCTTCTTTCAAGCTGATAGAGTTGGAAGATAAGCTTAAACTCTGGAAATTATGTTCATAACTACTGGTTCCCTGTGTTGTTATGAAAATGAGAGTAGCATTAAACTTCACTCTTAAAAGAATTAAAAAAAAGTACAAAACAAATAAAATCAATTGTTATATGTAGATGAAGTGGATAAATTGATGCCAAAATATATGAAATGAACAAAGCTTAACTCCTTTAAATTTCTTTATTGATTGTGTATGATTATATTTTGGTATAACCAAATATATCTCTTTATCTTATGCCTAACAGTAAGAAATTAATTTCTTTTGAGGTTATATGTCTGCTCTTATTGACAAGTGTTATTCTCAGGAATCGAATTTTTGACCTAATTTAGAGAAATCATTTAAAAAGTTGCAGAATGCCAGTAATTTGATATTGTTGATGGTCACCAGCATTCAATTGATATTATTTTTATTATAAACCGAAAGATATTATTGCACAGCTAAAGGGGCAATACGGCATGAGTGAATGATGCAACTATTGCATCTGTCCAGGATAAATTGTCCAAACCAAATTTTAATATTTCATGATCCACTAATAATTTAAAATTGTATGAGTTTATTCTAAAACAATAATTTAAAATTAAATGAGTTTAAAATACTATTTTGGTGTATAACATAACAAAATAGAATTGTATATTAGTATTTCTTTTCATGTGGAATATAGATATTTGATCAATATTCAAGAATCTACCATTTTCATTATAACTGAATGACAAGTCTTTAGAAATTAAGCAATGCATTCTAATTCCGTAATAACAAGAAGAAAAAAAGTAACTGCATTCTAAATATGATGTATATTTTTTAAATTTAATTTTTATTTCAAAATCCACACAAAAAATACCTAACTTTCATCCCTCTGAACTCTAATATAGCATGTGATTTCACCCAAAAAAGAAATGATTAAGAAACTAATAAATAAATATCTTTCATTTTATAAGCCAAACATAATTCATATAGCATTTATATGAACTAGCGTGTCGACAGACACGAAAGCCGACCCGCATTTTTATTTTATTATATTAAGTATTTAATTTTTATATATTTTATTTTATACAATTACAATGTTTTTATATTAAGAGTAATTTATGTTAAAAAATGTATTTATTATAATTCAATTTAAGATGAGATAGGTTGGTTAATGTGTTAATGGTAGTTACTTATGATTATATGGTTTTTTTTTATAAATTAAAAAATTTAAGGGTAAAATAGGAAAATAGAAATTACACAATAGTGGTAGTTATTTTATGTTTTAGCTTTATATATAGTATAGATTAGCTTTATATATAGTATAGATATATATAGTATAGATTAAGGATTATCTACATTAATGCTTTTCACCCAAATAAATGCCTCTCTTAAATTAGTTAACTGTTCCATAATTACTTATTGATAAGATAAATCAATTGATTATAAATTTTAAAGTGCACTCAAATTATTATTTTTTAATTTAATGGATGTGCATTAACATTGTAAAAAGAAAGTATAATACTATTTAGTGTAATAGTGCATTATTATCATTCATTTATAATCATTTACTTTTAAATAAAAAATAATATTGGCTATGAGTTTTCAATTATGTTTTGATAATCTACAAACATTTACATACATTTTTTATGCATAATTTATGTCTTCTACATTAACATTTTCAATATTAACCTTTTCAACATTTCAACTATTTGTAAGAGTGAATTATTTGTATTATTGAACTCCTGTAAACTCCTAATACAAAAATATAGAAAAGAAAGAAAGAGTACCTCTCAATGGTAAATATCGTTTGAAAAAAACATTGTAGTGATAATGGACAGGAAATTGATTAGCTCAATTCATATTTTTAATAGCAAAATATAATTTCATGACAAATAAAATGATAAAAATATTATTACATAATATTTACTTCTTTCATAATGGAATGGATCAGTGGAAGTACTACAGAAACCAATCTGATGGGACAACTGTGCTACAGATTCTTTAATCAGTGAGTTTTTTAAGTGAAGTACAATAATTCAAGGCACTGAAGGGCTAGTTCTCAACACCATGATTGATTTTACAATATATGTTCAATGTTCAATGGGTTGTAGTGTAGTGTAATGTAAATATTATATTCTATCATTGTGGGAAAAATTTAGAAAAAGTGTGAACTGAAAATATTAAAGTATTAGTACATTATATAAACTTCTTTGAATAGAGTATAAGGAACTAACATGTATTAATTTAACAAAAAACACTATTACATTTATTTGTAAAAGTTCTAAGTACTCCTGTTCCATTATTTTAAATAAGGAGTTTACACATTTCAAAAAAATAATAAGGAACTTACAAGTCTCTGTGATGAATTTAAAAATAAGGAACTTACAAGCCTGTGATGGATTTCATATGGCTTATTTGCAAGTTATTTCTTTTTCGGGTTTTAGGTAAACCTTTTGTTTTATGTATTAGTATTTTCCTATAATCTGTGAATAAACAAATTTTTTAAGGATCTCGAATATTATAATTCTCAGACATATAATAAAATAAGGATATGAACATATACATGAATCATGTTCTTGGATCTTTTCTTTTTGGTATCTCTTAAAAGAGTTTTGGTATAATGATTTTCCTCAATCAAATCATGAATTCTTCTCAGGGACATTATTTGTTTATCTGATGGGGAGAAGGAAAAATTAATTGTAATTTGATGTATTGGGATGATAACCGTTCATGATTAAGTCTTCTTCTGATATTCCCTATAAACCAACTGTATGAGTATCAACTCATCTTTTATGTTCAAAAGAAATGAATATTTTTTTAAGGCAAGAGGTTAACTACACCTCACATATATTCAATACCAAAAAGAGATTACATGTTTGAGAACCTATATAATTTAGTAGGTCAAAACTATTTCTAAAAATTCTTCAAATATGAAAGTTGGTATAATATCCCATGAAGGGTAAATTCTAGAAGCAATTCCAAAGTTTACTATCTTAAGCATTTCCTTTAGGTTCCTAAAGATGTGAGAAACCTGTAATCCATATTGTTCAAAAACTCTTTACAATGAAACCATTTATTCAGCAGCTTCAATGAGACAAAAGATGGAGTCGTCTAATATTGGAAGCTAACCCAGAATTAATTTATAAAAGATTAAGGAACAACACATCATTCAAAAGATCACAAGATTGAGATCCCAACTTCTCATTAAACCTTCTCCAAGATTAAAGCTGCACTAGTGGAAAAGAGTGATTTAAAATCAAGTATATTATGAGTTATTTCAATATTTTAAAAGGGATCAAAATCAGGTAGTATTCACCAATGCGAAAAACATTTTCAAAATCGACTAAGTTGCTTAACTATTGCAGAAACTATGGGTTGAACATGAAACACAAGCATTTAATATTCTGAATACAACATAGTATGAACTCTTGGTTCTTACTATAATTTATTCTTCACTCATATAAAATAATTTTAGCTATATGAGCTTACATTTATATATCTTTATTAGCTAAGGGATAAAGAAAGATTTGATTTTGAATATGTGTATACGAGTATTGGGAAACTTTGTCAACTAATAACACTGTTGTAGAGCATAGAGAGGCTAAGTATCAAGTAGTATTAGTGTAAAGCATCAAGAGGCGAACTATGAAAG